GACGACGATTTTCCTACTTAAACAAAGCTTTAGAAATTTTATTGCCATTTGTAACATCTTACCTATGTGAAACTGGTTTTTCTACAGTAGCTGAAAAGGAACTGAGAACCGCGATTTCTTCAATGACACCACGGTTTGAGAAAATTTGCGCTGAAAAGCAAGCTCAACCATCGCATTAAATTTTTATAATGTTGTAATTGTTAGAAAAATTAAGGGGGCGCAACAATTTTTTTTTTAAAGGGGGGCGCAGGTACAAAAAGGTTGGAAACCACTGGAGTAAATAATACTAAATCGATTTTTCATGTATAATTGATGGGGCTGACGCAGTCAGCTTCTTAGTCATAAACCTTTATGTCAGTGGATTTACTTTTTTTGACAAACTGTCTAGCTTTTTCAAGTAATTGGGTTTGTACTTTGGCGTCACATTACAATTACACATTAAAGATAGTATTGTTTTAATGGATTTAGATCATTTGATGTGAGATACTATTAAAAACCAATGAGCTACTTGACTTTAAAATGGTTCATTTGAACTATCATTATAACCCTCTGTAGAGATTAAAATAATTATGAGATACGGACCTGCGAAGGCAAACTGGGCTAGGGTGGGCAGGGGTGAGTGCTGTATGGAAAGCTCCTTAAGCCGCGGTAGTCCTCGGAACGCGAAAGGCTTTATGACGGAAATGTTATTGCCATCCAGCGACAACTTTTTGAGCATTCGCAGGCCTGCGAAGGCGTCGCTTCGTATGACAGCGAAGTGATTCCTCTTGAAGGACAGTTGTTCTACGGTCGGCGGCAGGAGCTTAAGCGGGATCTCGGACAATCCACCGGAGTTGCACAGCACCTGCCAACCAACAACGGACATGCTTTATACTCATGTAAAATTTGCTATTTTATTATGTTGAATTAGCATTTATTTATTGGCTTACTGGCTACAAGACGTTGCAAAATGACCTTTTTGGATAAACGGTTATTACTTTTTGGGTATGCTTATCGTAAGAAACCCATCACACTTCCTTAAATTCAGTTGTTGAGGTAATCAAGAACGTGTCGGAAAATTTCCTCAACGTTTTTCCAAGTTATCAACCACAACGGTTCATTTTGAAGTGACTCGTATGCATTGAAAGTAGTCTTAATATTGTCGTGTCTTTTTTATATTTACCAATATTATTTATAAATCAAGTATTGCAATGTAATTTAAATATGCTTATAAGAGTGTTTTACGGTTCAGTTTGTTCATTACGTAATTTGTAAAAAGACAAAAATACTTCCAAATCCAGCAAAATGTAAACTGTCGTATTAATACATAAAAGTATGTTGTAAAAAAGTAAAGTAGAAAATAACGTCGACAGAATACGATATTAATAATTACATACTTTTTTAATTTATAAAACATTCTTCAAGAAAGATACTGATATTAATACTGTCGGAAAATAACAAACCCGGACACGACATGAGTTTATCCTGGTAACAACCTATATTCTTCCTGAATAGTGATTGTTTAATTAACTGTTGTAAGAGTAGCTGAATGAAGTTCAGGAAGAAGTAAGCAATTTCTCTTATAATTAATTCATTTAATGGCAGAATTTATTATATAAAATCATTGCCGAAAATGATGGCTGATAGTGTATTTATGTGTATGTTGTATATGTTAGACCCGAAGACCGACAACGCTCAGTGGCCGGAAAAAACGGCCACATCGCGTTCTGGCTGCCTTCGAACGCACAGAACGCGTTTTGGCTGTTTTTAAACGCTCGCAACTCGTTCTGGTAACTGTTAAACAGCCGAAACGCGTTTTATGAATTGTTAAACGCTCACAACGCGTTGCTAATGTTCGACTTGTATTATTTGCCGCTTTCTACCTCCGTACAATGAGATTTATTATACTTATAAAACAAATTAATTTCAATCAATTTTTCAGTTTTTAGGAAACAATTCAATTATTGACAATTATAATTGGATACCAAAGATGGGTTCGGTTTTTCTCGCCGAATCATTTCAACAATATTAAATTTCTTATAATTGTTTTTCAGTTCTAGGAAGAAAGTTACACTGAACACTTATATTGCCGAGCAAATAATATGTGAATGAATGAAATTTTAATAACCTTTTGTAATTTTAAGATTTTGTCAACTTACCTAAACAATAGGTGAACGGTTATTAGCTATTGTTATAAACTGAAGGTACTAAAAATGTACAACTTTCCTTTATAATCATTCCAGTACAGTACATTTATGATCATTTGTATTTTCTATGATCTTTTCGGCGATTTTATAACAATGCACGTACCGATGACTCTATATGACAATGAATTATGTGATCATAAAGGAGGTTTAAAAAATTAAGAACACGTTGTGAGCGTTCAACAATTGACAAAACACGTTCCGGCTGTTTAACAGTTACCAGAACGCGTTGCGAGCATTTAAAAACAGCCAAAACGCGTTCTGTGCGTTCGAACGCAACCAAAACGCGATGTGGCCGTTTTTTCCGGCCACTGAGCGTTTTCGGTCTTCGGGCCTAACATATACATAAGGAAGGCGTTGTTAACGATTTATTTTGAAAATTGTTATTTTATAAAGCATCCAAAAATTTTTCAATTATAAATTTCAAAAAAGGAAAGAATACGGTTAAAGTATTGTAGTTTTACATCTCTAAAAGTGGTATTCCACGTAAGTTGCTTAAAGTCACAGCTGCAACTTTTCTATAAATAGAATTGCAATGTTAAACAACAGATATTGTACAATTGAAGATAAATTGTGCAATTTCAGAACGGTGATAGAAAACGAGAGAGAAGTTGTATCATTTGATTGAATAGTGCTTCGTCTAGGTGCTTTGAAACAGATTGGGAACATTCTATTACTTCAATTCAAAATGTATATATTTACTGAGCAAATAAGTGCTCCTGCTTATCGATAAATTGGATGGCAGAAACTAAAAAAATTAAAAAATGTATGTCTTGTACCAATCATAAACTGATTTGGATTTAATTAATGTTTCTGCAGTGAATGAGGCCTAATATCTAAGTTTAATAATAATATGCATAAACTTAAATAAACTTCAGATGAGTTTTTAACTCGATATTTCGCAAACTATTGTGGTTGGCATCTTCAGAGAACATCATTACGAGGGCGTAAGTCCTTCGACATTTGAAAAAACGATTTTTAAGTGTTTTATTACCACCATCTATTGGTGGTGAGCGGCTGATCCCTCTGATCTACATGTGGTGCAAATGCAGATGAGAGAATGAAATGGACGAAACGAAGACCGAAAAAAGTGAATCATTTTCTGAGAAACAAGTGATCCATGGAAAGCTCAGAAAACCTTGGACCTAGTCAGCCAGTTTCGGAATTACCCCGGTTTCTTCTAGAATGTTAAGCAATGGTATAAACTGTTGCTTGGTAGTGGCATCGCTCAAGTCCGATAAACAGGTGTAATTAAAAAGAAAGGATTCTCTTCTTTTGTTGAAGTTGTTGGAGTGCTTCTGTATTTCGATTTCGAAATAGTCTTGCATATGGTAATTCCGCAGCGTATCCAAGATGTCTTTGTTCTCAAAGCGGATAACATGTCCTCCTTGCATGACACGTTCTGCGGTTCTGTCACTGCGGATTTGTCGGGCTGTCGAAGCTGCAGTGACGTTCATGACGTTTTGTGGTACCTACATAGAATTGCCCGCAACTGCATGGGATACGGTATGTTCCCAGTGCTGTGAGATGTTCTCTGGGATATTTTGCGGAGCGCAATTGTTGTTGGATTTTATTGGTCAGAATCAATATGATTTTAATGCTTTTCCTTCAGTAATATAAATGTACGATAAATTAAAGAAACTTTTGAAAAACATTAGCAAACCTACACAGGCAACGTTTTGTTAAAAGCCCAGGTTTTTTCGATGGTTTAAGATATTCTCAGGAAGAAGAGAGTTGATGGAAGATGAATTACACAGCAGAAGATCTTCTTCAACTGCAAAAACCGCTGAAATTGACAGAGTCGAAATTTGACCAATAAACTCGAGATCTGTTTGAAAATGGTTCAAATGAATCTTTCGCATAAGCAAAAAGACATCAGGAAGGACAATACTTTGACTTTTTGGATTCGATTGAAAATAATCTTGAAAACAACGCCACTCCAGCGTCTTCAAAATCCAAAAAAGCAGTAAACAAGTCAATGATCAAAACATACTAATTTTCTTCTTTGATGACTTAAGGAATCGTCCACAAAGGGTTTATGTTTCAAAAACAAGTCATTCATTTTTACCGAGAGGCTTTTTAAAGACTTTAAAGCTTAAGAACACTTGAATCTTGCCTCACACCAATGCGCCTTATTATATAGCAATTTCAACAAACGGATTTCTGGCCAGTAGAGATTGGTGTTGTGGTTTCTCAGCCTTCAAATCTTTAGTCACAGAGGTTGGTGTTGTGGTTTCTCAGTCTTCATACCTTTTAGTCACCTGACTTGACCCCTTGTGATTCTTTCTCTTTCCCAAGATTGAAAATTTATCAGACAATATTGAATTGTAATTTTATTCGATTAAAAATATTCAGAAACATTAGTCTCATTACTTAATTGCACATCTCAAGTCATCAGTTCGAAAAAATACTTGTAAATAAAGTATATAGAAGAAGCGCTGATTGATTGGTTTATAGACGTACACTAGCCAAAAAGTTGGATATATGTCAAGGTAGAGAGTGTATACAAAGAAGCCCTAATGTACTAACCACTAATTAGTCATTAACGTTAGTTGTGTGGTTACGTAAGGCCTTGCACATTCCTTGTATGGTTGTTTAGATACCATGAACATTTAGTTTGTAGTACATATTATTTAGTTGTATCTATACTAATGTTACATTACCGTAGTTTTATCCAAGAATTAGCTTGTGAATTTATAGGGTGGTGTTAGTATGCAAGCAAATGTTGCTGTTTTCTATGTACTAATTTGTCGTACCATAATTCAGCTACGTTATAGGTACCTGTATTAATCCACCTTCCTGTCTATTGAGACTTTCGTCTAATATAAAATGAATACAGCATTAAAGCAATCTTAAAGGCAATGAAAATTACGGGCACGTTCGAGAGGGAGAGAAATAAAGGAAACTGCAATTCTCGGAGGCCTTATAAACTTTTCACGACTTGCCTTACATACAGACATAAATATAAGTGGAAAATATAAGTTGGTAAAAAATTTGCATCTGGAACAGGAAACGAAATGGTTCACTTGACATATTCCATACTGTTCACGTTTCGGGTGGATAAAGGTGTAAGAAAAGGTCATTTTAATTCGTTTTATGACAATTAAATATAATTGAATTGAAAACAATGAATTCGTACTGAAAGCAAGTACAAAACTTGCTTGAAGTATGAGCATAACGTCAACGTTGGTTGCTTAAAGTACAAATTGAATATTTTTACAAGACCTTATTTCAAGATATAATCATCGTCATGTATGTAGTGTCCGACCGAAACTGGTTTTTACGACTGAAACCGAAACCGAAACCGAAACTTCCTAATAAGGATCATGTTTTGAGAGAAAAATAAAGAAAACGTTATTATAATCAGTCAGTTTTATTTTTTTATCTTTAAATCACATAGCTCTGCAGTCTTTGACATTTTTACTTATTGATAATCAAATCAAAATCAACATAACAACCCTTCATTTAAGGAAATACTTTAATTGCGCCTTAAAAATACTTAAAATAGGTAAGATGTTTATTTGAGTAAGTATAGTAGACTAGACTCATTTTTCTATTGAAGATTATTCATGCTTTTTTTTATATAATATTAAACATAAAATTACTTTTGTTGTTGTTCGCTTGGATGGAATTTAACGCGCCGAACATGACCGAACAGAGC